AGTAGGAATCGCTGAATTAACCAGGGAAGTAACAGCAGAGAAGAGGGCGGAGATTGAACCAGGCAGGTCATTGGTCACAGACGGGTCGGGAGCCACCGAGGGAGGAGGTAACACTGGAGAAGGGGCGGTAACGGGGGGTTGGGTCAGGGCAGTGAGGGAAGAGAGTAGGGACGGCAAATCAGCTGAGGGAGGAGGGGACAATGGGGTAGATGGGGCCGGGACTTCGGGAGGAGGTAACACTGGAGAAGGGGCGGTAACGGGGGGTTGGGTCAGGGCAGTGAGGGCAGAGAGTAAGGACGGCAAATCAGCCGAGGGAGGAGGGGACAATGGGGTAGAGGGGGCCGGGACTTCGGGAGGAGGTAACACTGGAGAAGGGGCGGTAATGGGGGGTTGGGTCAGGGCACGCACTGTGTGGTTAGCGGGAGGGTTCTGGAGGGTAGAAGGGGCGTCTGAATGTAAGGGAGCAGGGGCTAGGGAGCTGGGGTTAACGGGCTGGGCAAGCACCTTCGAGAGGCTAGCGAGGAGGGAGGGGAGGTCTGGGTCTGGAGGTACTGGAGAAGGAGGCTCCGGGGGCAGACAGGGGTCCGGATCAGCGGAATGGGCAAGGGTCGAGGGACCGGACAAGGAGGGTGGGGGAACGGGTATCACTGAGGGTAGGGTACTCGATGGGGAAAGGGTGGATGGGGAGAAGGAGGAGGAGGAGGAGGAAGCTTCGACAGGCAAAACGGGAATAGGTGGGGTAGAGTCTTGACGAGGAGCTGGAGTAAGCACAGGCACAGGGGGAGACAACAAGGGAGATGGGGGGGTTTCTACAGGCATGACGGAGGAGGAGGAGGCGGGGCTGCAGGAGGGCTGATGCATGGGAGTGGGTGGGAGCGAGTGGAGTGGCATCGGGAAATAGTAAGCACCATCCGCGCCGAGCACGGGGCAAAGGGGAGTGGGAGCTGAAGGAACACCTCCGGGGGGTGTGGTCTGCACTGTAATGGGGGAAGCAGGGCGGGAGGTTGAGGCTGCACTCTGGGCGCCATCATAGGGCGGTGGTCGTGGGACAATAGAAACAACATCATCATTGTTAGCATTCCTATGGTAAACATATACAATCTGTCCCTCAAACTCCAACTCTTCCTCGACCCATCCCTCTCGTTTCAACCCTCTAGCTACCCGATACCAAGCCTCTGCAACCTTAGTGAGTCCGTTATCCAACAACAAACCTTCCTTGTCTGTGAGCAACTTTCTCCAAAACTCAGGCTGTAACCTTCCACTAGGCAGCATTTGGAAGCCACACACCTTGGCAATCTTTTTAAGTTTCAACATTGCATCCTCTCCTGCCCTTTCTTTTACAATATCACAAGCCAACAAGCCCTTAGCAGGTCTAGCATGTTCCTGCCCCATCTTATATAAACAAAGCGTGTCACGTGGTGAAGACAGAAGAATAGAGGAGGTACTGAGGGGAAAGGAAAAAGAATGTCTACAGTGCTCGACTGCCACGAGAGCTTGAGCTCTGTGCGTCTTCCCCAAACGTAGACTAGTCACAGGGATCCGCCCACCCGGGGTGGTGGTCACGGACGGGAGCGAATGAGCGTGGGTGACTAACACAGCTCTGGGCAACAGGCGCAGGAAAGATAAAGAACAAAGGAAAATATGAACGTGGCTGCGCTAATGAGAAGACATTTGCAAAAATCACAAACATATAAATGGGCATAAACTCCGGAATCCAGAACCAACCACACAACACACACACACACACCGAGGGTACCCACACTGTAACAACAATTAAACAAGAACCACAGGATGATAGAAAGTAAAATGGCCATGTACATGTTAACACCACTGGTACCAATACCCACCGTGTAACAATCCCCAGCTCTGTTATAACACAAGCATTAATGAAAGCATGCAAGAATTGTACAAAATCCCAGCCCCACCGGCTGTAATGCGTTCCCTGCCCGCTAGGCAGTCAAGCTAACATAAAATCCCAGCCCCACCGGCTGTAATGCGTTCCCTGCCCGCTAGGCAGTCAAGCAAACATAAAATCCCAGCCCCACCGCTGTAATGCGTTCCCGCCCGCTAGGCAGTCAAGCTAACATAAAATCCCAGCCCCACCGGCTGTAATGCGTTCCCTGCCCGCTAGGCAGTCAAGCTAACATAAAATCCCAGCCCCACCGGCTGTAATGCGTTCCCCCGCCAGGCAGTCAAGCTAACATAAAATCCCAGCCCCACCGGCTGTAATGCGTCCCCTCCCGCCAGGCAGTCAAGCTAACATAAAATCCCAGCCCCACCGGCTGTCGCGTTCCCGCCCAGGCAGTCAAGCTAACATAAAAATCCCAGCCCCACCGGCTGTTCAGGCAGTCTAACATAAAATCCCAGCCCCACCGGCTGTAATGCGTTCCCTGCCCGCTAGGCAGTCAAGCTAACATAAAATCCCAGCCCCACCGGCTGTAATGCGTTCCCTGCCCGCTAGGCAGTCAAGCTAACATAAAATCCCAGCCCCACCGGCTGTAATGCGTTCCCTGCCCGCTAGGCAGTCAAGCTAACATAAAATCCCAGCCCCACCGGCTGTAATGCGTTCCCTGCCCGCTAGGCAGTCAAGCTAACATAAAATCCCAGCCCCACCGGCTGTAATGCGTTCCCTGCCCGCTAGGCAGTCAAGCTAACATAAAATATAGAAAAAGGAACACACATACACATATTACTAATACAGGAGGCAGATAGACAATCGACAGGTTCGCTTAAAAAGGCACACCGGATGAGTTAGTTACCTGTCTCTAGTAGCCTTCTGGAAGCCGGAAGTGGACCCGGAGGCAGACCGACACAAAACAGGAAAATAACACAGGCAACGGCTGTATTATGGAGGTGATCAGGCTCCGCTTGTCCCACTTTCCGGAGGTCCGCTCCGGTCCGCTGGTTCCGGCCCTCCGAACCGGCGCTCCGGTGGCCCCACGTTGGGCGCCAATTGAAGTGGAAAAATCAATTAAAGTATTGATTATTTCTTTGTGTATCTGCCCCTGGCCAAATCAATGAAACAATGCGTGCACGCTCCCAGAAGTAATTCACACCAGACACAGGTTCCAGGTTGTTGAATAACTTGAGGAATGTTTATTCAGAGGGGACGGCAAGTCCCTTTTAAAGCAAAATTACATCATATGCATTGTCAGAGATAACATGGAATAATACATCAATAATTGGTTAGGTGTTAAGTGTTTGCTCTAATGCTCTGCCTACTGTAGGTGATGTCACCGGGGCCATGAGGGTCTCCCACGGTTTCCCGGCGCCATCTTGATGCACGAGGTAGTTAGTCGACGTTAGGAGGGGGGGGGAAGGAGGGATTAAAAGCTTCTAGCAGCCATCTTGATTAAAATATGTGTGTTTAGCTTTATACGATATATATCATGAAATGAGTAAATAGACATTTTCTCTATCTAGGAAATATGCGCAGACCTTATTTCCACAACATTTACATATGGGTTAATCCAGCCTCTAGTGGCTATCTCATTGACAGCCGCTAGACGCGCTTCCGCGCTTCTCACTGTGATTTTCACAGTGAGAAGACGCCAGCGTCCATAGGAAAGCATTGAGAATGCTTTCCTATGAGACTGGCTGAATGTGCGCACGCGTGGCTCTTGCCACGCATGTGCATTTAGCCGATGACGAAAGGAGGAGGAGAGTCCCCAGCACCGAGGGAGCCCGGTGCTGGAGAAAGGTGTTTAACCCCTTCCTCCCCCTTCAGCCCGGCGGGCACCCTCAGGGCACTATAGTGCCGGGAAACCGAGTTTGTTTTCCTGGCACTATAGTGGTCCTTTAAGCTAAAGTTGTATTGGTAACTATAGTGTTCCTTTAAGTGGTGAAATTGAAGAGGGATGGGGGTGGAGCTTTTGCAAGTGGTTACTGAATTACCCAGGTGTCTTTTTTTTTTTTTTTTTTTACCCTAGGAACACCTCTACCTGGAGAAGATTTTGTAAGATTAATGGTGGACTGTGGGCAGGATCTGGAATTTGGGAAAGTACTTCCAGAACCAGGATTGAAAGTGGGTACGTTGGGAAGTATCCTTATTATCCTGTCACTGTCTTTAGTAATCTCTTTATTGCTATGTAACTTTCACTGCAGATTCATAATTTTAGTAACAAAGTCAGCTTCCCCTGCTTTGTAACCTTGTACACATACGGGATATTCTCTAAAGTCCAAATAATGTGGGCTATTCACTAAATTTAGAATTGTTGGGCATTCAAATGTAAGGCCAAAATAGCTGAACAGGAAAAATTCTCAATGTTTGCTATGCTGGCAGTTCAGCTACTTCAGCACTTTGGATTTGGACATTTCTCAGTTTGGTGAATACGCCGGGTAGTGATTTGAAATGTAAAAGACAAAATTTAGGTTTAACTAGTCAAGCTGTGACTAGAATAAAGTAGGATTTTTCAAAATCCGCGATTTTAAACATATATATATATATATATATATATATATAATTTTTTTATTTTTTTTTTTAATTTATTTATTTATTTTTCCCTTTTGGGATTTCAATTCAGTACCTTTTTATAGATTAGTGAATAATAATCCCAAAGTGAAATATGAGAAAAAGGAAGACTGCTTGTGCTAATTTAAAATTCCTTAATTCTATTATTAAATTGAGAAACCTTTTGTAAACTACAGCGATGAGCTGTAAAATAAGATATTAAATCCTGTAGAACATTCCTGGTTTATGTCTATAAATAGCTATCCTCTTTGGCCATATACTCCATGAACTGTATTATAAAAAGCATAAGAGTCTGCATTCCAAGTTTAAGTATAATTTACCATTTAAGGAGCCTTTTACATTTTTGTCTGGCAGGTTGACAAGTGTGTCCATGTGTTGACTTTATTATGCTTTCTACATCTTGGCACTGGAAGGGTTAATTTGTCTCTCTGTCAAATCAAGTCTTTGACCAATTGAGCAAATTGCCCTCTCCTCATGACATTGTGAGAAATCTATGTCTCAGGTGAAAGTATCACTCTACCCTGGAATTCCACTCCCTGATCCAGTGCAGTATCTCTGGGTTTTCTAGTGATATCAGCTGCATGATAGATCTGATTTCATTGTCTGGGGTATTTTTCATTCTGAAGAAACTGGGGTGGGTGAGTTAACTCTTCTGCGTCTGTTAAGCAAACCTATGATCTGTCGAGATTTTTTTTTTTTTTTAGAGCTTAATACATTTTATATTGGATTTTATTTATTTTACATTTATCATAAACTTTATGGAAGCAGGAAGCCTCCCCCTACACCCAGCCACACACATTCTTCACTGCCCTGCTGTATACATCACTCACAGCTACCCACACACACCCCACACAGCTTAATCACAAGTGTCGCTATTTTGGGCCCAGATCCCTGTGTCCCTCTTTTCTGTCCTAATGTCTCTCTTTTATTGAGGGCCATATTGTTGGGTCTGAGTGTGTGAATCACATAACTCCACAACCATAATACTCACGGTAGTCTTTAAACTACAATATATGTGTTTAGGAATCAGTCTGTGTAAATACATTATTGTTCTAAATTTACACTTTAGCTGCATACATTATTAGTAAGTCACCTACAATTTCTCAGAATTCATTGGCTCCTGGTCACACCCCTAAAATGAAAGTGTCCCTCTTTGCACATTTGAAATGTATGCAGCGCTTCAACACTTACAGCCACCCTATACCTAAACCTACACACAGGGTTTTGCACTAAACTTTGAATTCCTGACAATTCTAAGTTAAGGCCAAAACAACAGAACTGGAAAAATTCTCCAAGCTAGATTTGCATCCAGTTTCTCTTCTTTGGCCTTAAATTTGCAATTCACTTTGAATTTTCTGACAAGTTTCAATCTAGTGAATAACACTGCATACAGAGGGTTAGGGCCTAGCCGCTGATCAGACTGGTGGCACTAAACAAGCAGAAACCCGCTAAAAAGCGACATATTGCTTACAAATCACACCAAAATTACTAAATTAGTGCAGCAGAGCATTGGTGATATCCAACACTCAACCTGGTGGAGTTTCTTGCTCAGAGAAGCATTCTGAATCCAACTCCGAATTGCGGCATACCAGCAGAAGCAAGCACGGGGTGAGCAGTCCTGCAGGAATACACTGAAGCGCTTGGGACCCCAATTTCCTCCCCTGCCGGTGAGGAATATCCCGGCACAAACAATCAACATACAGGCTCTACTGTAAGGTAACAAGGGGAGCTAGGGAACTCACCTGATCCTGTTACATCGCACTATACCGCGGGCAGAGCCAAGATGGTGATGATGGTGCTGACCACAATGACACAAGGCCTGCTGGATAGTTTCGAACAGCAGCTGGATGTGATCTTCAGCGACATTTGCACCAGAACACCCACAGACCAAAGCAGCCGAGGAAGAAGGCGACACACCTGAAAACCACATCCAGTCCCGAAGTGCCCAATGCTCACTACTGCCTTCCGAGGCCTAGAGCCTGAAGGGGGCCAACCCTGGTGCATGACCCACATCCTTGACAGAAGCAACCATGAGCTCAAGTGGCGAAAGCATCTCATCAAGACTATGCTCATGGTGGCATGGGAAACCGGAGCAGTAGGGTCCGCACAGAGGCTCTTGAGACCGCCTGGGGCTGGCAGAGCGGCCTAGCATGGACTTTCTGGGAATTGTCTCCATACCTGACTCAAATAGTCAGCAAACGTATCTGGTTAAAGCCAGCCAGAGGGGTGCCATACACAAGCTGCATACTTGGCGAAGTAAAGCAACATGCCACCTTACTTCACGATGAAGTATCACCCTGGGTCCTAGCAACCATTGACTTTAAAGTTTATGTTGATGCCTGTTTTCTTTTTTTTACCTTACCATCCTTATCTTGAAGTAGCTCGTTGTACAGTGACGCTAGCGTGTTATTCATAATTTTCAACTCTCCTAATGTGCTACTTCTCTGCATTCTTATCATACTTAAGCATGTTCCTTACACTCGACTAATAGAAGTAACCAGTATGTCCAGTCAGCAAAACGCCACTATACTTAGTTCTAATTTATAGCTGGATATGTATAATTCAACCTGTTTATGGCATATTAGTAATATAAAAATGTGCTTAGATATTGAATGCCTTCCACTATACGAATGTACCTCTTTTGTCTTACCAGTGCTGTTGGGGCATAGTAAGATTGTATGTTATTCATATGCACGCATAAAATAACACTGCATGCAACCTCACACTCTGTCTTTTAAAAGGAACATTCCGAGCACCAATATCCCTACAGAACCCTTACCTGGGTTCTGCCTGGTGCCCACTCCTGCCAATGAACCAGGCCTGGCTGTGCAGGGCTCATTACGGTTTCAGCCAGTGAGCTGGCCCTGCAGGAGAGGCACCTGTAGGCTCCCAGCATGACCCAGTTGTCAGACCATTCTTTATTTAATTTTTATTGCAAGGTCATTGAAGTACAAAAATGCAGAGACATGCCATCACAGTAATACAAAAGTTACAATGTCACATAACATAAACATATCTTAAAAGATAAAATCAGACAATCATTACATGCATGTTGACATATGACGAGTTCCCTTGTCAGTGCATCCTAGTTGCAGCTAGATATCACCCAGGTGCTAAACCCCAGGATTAAAGCTAACCTCATTTTGAATTTCTCAAACATAGGTAGATGGGGGAAACTAAAATACCTTAAAAAGCTAAACAAAAAACCTTGATTAATGGTAAGTGATGCTACGTACAGCGTTTATAAGTCTTCGACGTGAGAGGTGTAACTGTTGTCAATAATTGGTAAGAGCTGGACAGTGCCAGAAAATGACTTAATATGCCCATGTCCTGGCAGCAATGCCAGTAAGTCGACTGGGCATCAGGGTAAATGCGAGCTGAGAGATCAGGTACTACTGCATCTATAATTTGTAGGCCGCCTCTACATGGTCCAAGCAATGAATGGCTTCCTTCACTTTTGCCATTGCATCATGCCATCTGCTCGTTTCCACTCTACAATTAATTTTCCTTTTTCCACTATTTGTCAGACCATTCTTAAATGTTTTGACTACTAGGCAGAAGGAGACCCCCAAGTGAGTGCATAAAGTTTATTTGTGGTTTAAATTTTATGCAATACAGTCTGATAAGTTTAATAATTGTATACTAAATTTTCCTTTGGTGTTTCTACTAATCTATAATAGATACTACTAATCTATGATCTTTGCCAATCTACTAATCTATGATTCTGGGAAGGGTGCTTGGATAACGAAAAATATCCTGGGAGTGTATCAGCACATACTTTATAAAACTCCTGCAAATGATGTCCCTCTATATTTTTATTTCTTTGTCATTTGTATATAGTTTGTTTACCTTTTTGCATTGTGCGTTTTGTAAGAACAGCTTAAGAAAAACTCTCAGTGAAATGAAAACCTGCCTGTGTGTGTGTGTGTGTATATATATATACTTTTATTTTATTTATATTTTTTTTTTGGTGCTGATATATACACATTTGTTTTTTTTTTTTTTTTTTTCACAGAAATGTTACAAAGCACTTTTTTGTGTCAAAAACCTGAAATACATATTTCCATTCCCAAGAGCCGAGCACACAGTTTAGTGGATTTGTGCTTACACTGGTGCAGCCACTAGCTATATCAAACAAGGAGAAATGCACTCTTGGGAATTTTCAAATCAAATTTTCGCTGTTTTAGGAACTCCAAATGCAGGAAACTGAAACACTGATAAGCTTTTGGAGTTCATAAAACAGTAAAAATTTGATTTATGCACTTCACCTTATTTAATTAAAAGGACACTCCAGGTACCAAAAAAATTCATCTAAATTAAGTTATTATGGTGCCAGGAGGCCCCCAGAAACACTATAACCACAAGGGGTTAATTTGTTCTCGACTGGTTTAACCCCTAAGTTGCCTCCAATGGCCAAGTCCACTATTGGGAAGACTGCCACTACAGGTAGACTTTTTTTTGTTTTGTTTTTTTGGTCAATCTTTCTTTTATTGAGGCATAGAGTTGCATGGGAACAGAAGAAAGAAGGGGAGACCGTTAAGATACATTCCAAACGGGGGTATAACAATACAGTTGATATCATCTCCGTGAAGCGTCTGCCTCTTTTATTTATTTATTTATTTATTTATTTATTTATTTTAAGAATAAGTAGATTAACACATCCATAACTGTAAGGTACAATTGTCAAAAAGCTGCTTTGGTAACAGTATAGGTAGTGTGGGTACAATATGCTAGATAATTAAACAGGCTAGTGTGGTTAGATTAGTTAGTAGTAGTAGTGTGTGTGTGTATATATAATGTACATAGACTGCTATCCAAGACGTGCTATATTCTTGTGTTCAAGCCACTGATTACAAACATGACTTTTCGTGAGACTATACAGGCTAGTGACATCAGACTGAAAATTGCTAGGCAGACGTGTCTGTGAGTAAACAGGTAGTTATACAATGAATCTTGCATGCATTGAGGACATTATACCACTGGGTTCTGGGCCTAGGAATAGTAAACTGCGCAACTGATTAAGTCAAAATTATAAGCAACTAAATAAACAAAGCTTAGCTAGTACTTCCTCAACAATAAATCGGGAGTCTCTTATCAGGCATGTCCCTTCGCTCAGTGTCTTCAGTGAGTTACCAGGAGCTCTGGGTGTGGTTTTGGGTGCCCGGTCATCCGATCCCCAGTAGCGGCAGAGGTGATACAAGTGTAGGGGGATCCCAACGATTATCTACCGCAGTGCCGTTTCATGGCTCTCTTCCAGATCCGAGTCTGCAGATAGGTAAGTATCGCTAGTCCATTGTCCCTGGTGTTCATGTGGATCAAGTCCGTCCCCTGCCTTAGGTTTGTGGTGGGTCGTGGGTGGCTGCGGTCATGGCGGGTGATCTTCCGCTTGCGTGGCTGTTGCAGGGAGGCAGTGCCTCCTAGGTGTTTTCAGCCCGGAAGGGTGAGCAGCTTTGGGGTTAGTTGGCTGTTTGCAGTGAGTGTCGAGTTCAACCGATGGACAAAAGGTTCAGGAGATTGTCCTCCAGCCCCAGGCTGTTGTGATAGCCGACACCCTCTGCCCAAGAACTCTGTACCTACGTGCGGCCCAGTCCTGGCCCCCCAAGGGGCAGTTGGAAAATCGCGGTGACATCCGCCGCCTGCAGCGTGCGTTCCTCCCCCCGTGTGGTCGATGTCTCGAGGCCATGCCTCTATTGGCTATCAGACCGCCGGGCAGCCATTGGTGCGATGAGGCGTTATGGTAAGTATATTGCCCAGAGGGCTATCTCCTGCCTCCCGTTCCGTACTGTGGTTGGGTTGGTCGGCAGTGGCACGGATCTGTAGTTTGTCCCAAAATGCCTGGAAAAATGCGTCCAGTCTGGATTCAAGAGTGTATGGGATTGGCCCTCGTGCCTGTGCGGGAGTTTGTGGTGCTTGTGGTAGGGCCTCCGCCATTTTGTGAGGTCGGAGTACCTTGAGGCGTCTATGTCCAGTCAGTTGGGGTAATGGCTGGTGCCTCAGTCCGTTCTCCCAGTGGGGACCGGGATAACCCCCACTGGTCCGGGGGGGGGGGTGTTAGGAGACCAGTGGAGTCGCTTGGTACGTCTGGTGTCAGGGTGAGCGGCCGTCTCTCCCCGGCTCCAACTTTAGTAGGCTGCACTCGGCTTTTCGTCCTCCCAGCCCTGACGGGTTTCAGAGGGGTGTCTTTCGGTTCCATGGCGCACTCCCAACATGGGTAGCGCAACCCTGTGAGTCTGTGGGCTATGTAGCCGCTGATTTTACTCCGAATTCAGCCCGTCAGGCGAGAGCTCGTGTTGCCCACGTCTTTACTGCTTGGCGGTCAGGCTCCGCCTCCCACTACAGGTAGACTTAACCACCCAATGTAAACACTGCCAAAAAACAGCAGTTTTACATTGCAGTATTAATACTAAAAAAAACACTTCATTAAGATGAAGTGGCCTGGGTGACTTTATTGGTACTTTAAGTACAAAATAAACAACATTGCTGTGTCCTTAAGGACTATAAGCCTCCAAGCACTATAACCACATTAATGAGATGAAGTGGATGTAGTGCATTTTTAAAAAAAAATATTCACATAATCTAGGCAAGGCATAGACTCTCCTACCCCCATATAGGAAGAGGTATGAGTAGCAGTTCATTCCTTATGAAGATCTCCAAACCTATTGGACCATTCTATAAAACTATTTTCCATTCTTATAGCAGACTGAAATATATTCTTATCGAGTGTCAGAGTATTGAAACATAAATGTAACTTAAAAAAAAAAAAAAAAAAATTAATATCGGGGTAACTTCTCCATGCCCATTATATAGGCTCCACTCTTTCCAATAAAAGTAGTCTGGTCATTATGGGAAATGCAGTCCACAAACCTGAAGTAAAATGTGGGCAAATACTGATGCTTAACAGTAATCCTGTTTCGGGTCTGTGGACCATACTTCCCATTAGGCTCATCCACCAGGAGGGCAGGATGAGTATTGTGGAAATGTAGTCCACACTTGTCACTGCAGCTGTTATTAGACCATGTTTTCCATACATTTTTCAATTCTTGCTAATTGCATCAGCAATTTTTTTTTTTTTTTTTTAAAGGTGTTTTATTTATTTTTTGCAAATGCACCTTGATTATTTCTAGACTTCAGAAATGTCAAGTCTCTCAAATTTGCTAATTTTTGTTTGTTGTCCTCTTTCAGAGCGAACCCTATGGTTATGGCGCAGAATCTGACCTTGAGACATCAGGAGTGCAAACAATATAAAACTGTGCTAGTGGGGAGCTCTGGTGTGGGAAAGACGAGTATGGTTTATCGACTTATGATAGACGCACCTCATGAAGTTTCTTCTGCCACTGGATGTAAGTTGTCTATCCGAAAAGTTAAATAATCCTGTCACATTTGGATAATATTAAGTTACTTATGGGTACACACAGAATGAATGCAGTGTGTGTAATGTCACTTAATTGTATCAGTAATATTTCATTAAAAGGTGACTTTACTTGAGAACTATTATCCAATATTTTATACGAAGACACAAGATATCTAAGCAGACTTGCTTCCTATAAAACCACATTGTGTCACTTGTTCCATCCCCCTCCCTTCCAATTTTAAACCACTTTACTCTAAGAAAGTAATTTCCATGCTTGGTATTTGGGAAGAAGGGGGAGGTGGAGGGCGGCAAACTTAATTTAAATTTATTTATTTAAAAAAAAAAAAAATTTAATATCAACTTTAGATAAATGTTTGCTGCTTATAGACAGGTTTTCTTAGTTCACTCTTGATTTCACCATCTGTCACCACTGATACCGACCACCACGTAATGTATACAGGTTTACAAACGGTCTGTACATTAAGAAAAAATGTCATTTTCCTATTCATTGCCTTCCTATTCACAACTCCACCTGGGCACTATAAAACATTTACTCAATCCATCCGTACTTCACCTGCAATCAACTAAGCAAGTTGCCCTTAGTATTTCTGTACACCTGTTTTGCTAAATTAACCAGGAATTTATTGAAAACTGCATACTCCATGTTGGCGTTATTTAAATATACTAAAATTCAGCATTTAAATGTTAAGTAACATGGAAACTGCTGGCAGTTGTTCAAGACAGCCATTTGAGTGCTTCCCAACTTGACACTAAATGATGGCATTAAGCATGTAAATAAACCAATGTGTTTTGTAGCAGAGTATTGTCACTTGACGCTCAAAATATCTACCTTGCATGATGTGTACTCCAATGCACATATCCCACAATCCATTTTAGCTGGTGCATGTGGCCTATATCTGATGCATATTGTGAGGTTTTGAGATTAGTACACATTTTCTAGTCTCTTATGCTGTCAGGACAGTTGAAATAAGCTATCTTAAAATGGCAGAGTGTGTGTGTGTGTGTGTGTGTATGTATGTATATATGTATATGTGTGTGTGTGTGTGTGTGTGTGTGTGTATATAATTTATATTTATTTATTCTCACATCCTTACATATATTGGCACTCCACACAGTGCCTACAAGGATAAAATGTTTACCAATACTTTTTTTTTTTGTGTGTGTTTTGGAGCCATTTAAACTGTTTGTTTTAAAATGTTGGAAATTAGAGAAAGAAAACATTGACTTTTAGTGAATTAAAACAGACCTGCAATGAACGATGACTTGGAAAATGTTCTTCCACTTTGCCATACTCACAGCCTTGCTATTTTAACCTCAGTTGAACAATTTTTTTTTTTTTTTTCCCGCTGCATTTTATTGTTTAGTACACACACACCCAAATTGTTTATACTCTTCTATCAAATGGAGAATGCAGAAACGTAACTCCTTGGTGAATAAACCCTGTAAAACCTGAAATAAAAGGCCTTGTGTGTTCTCTGCGAGGCTTCATTTTGTATTTAAATGATGTATTTGGATAATTCAAACCTAATTATACAACAGAACTTCTGTCCTGAGCAACTATATATACTGTAGGTAGCCTAACGGCTAACAACCCGGTAATATCAAGAAATATCTGTAACAATGAGTTTTATGATTGTGATTTCTATAAAGGTCTTAAACACAGTTGTGTAATGTAAAAGTAGTGAATTGTATTGCTTTTCAGTGTTCTGACAATAAGGCATGGATTAAAATGTATTTAACACTTATTTACTTGGTGTAACTGATAGAATTTAACGATCTCTGGCCACTATTTTGCTATAGGCCAAGTGTATCAGCAAGTATAAATGATGATGACCGATTTATACAGATAAGAATTCCTAATTTCTGTAGAATGCTCAACACTCCCATCTTGTGGTAGAAAACTACAATGCCTCTAAAACAATCCCTTTTTTATATTGCTATAAATATTTGTCAATCCATCATAGAAAGATGTTGCACACAGACCGGGGTGCCATTGCACCGTCAGTAATGGATCAGCTGTGGCTTTCACAGCAACTCCACAGGCGGCCTCTGGCCCAGTCAGCTGCTCACCAACAACCCCATGAAGAAACTCAATCTTGGGGTTAATGGGCAGATTCTTGAAGGGTTATTTATTAAAGTGAGAATTGTCTGTGTACAAACTTGAGGTCCAAGTAGCCAAATTGGAAACATACCTTACATGGAGAATTTAATGTCCAACTAATTTGGCTGTAAATTTGTAATTCACTTCAAATTCCCGACGGTTAGAACCTTGGTGAATAACTCTGTTAGATTAGCCAGGCAAAGAGTTGGGGTGGCTGAATAAATAATCCACATTTGTGTGACTTTCCATATATATTTCCTGGTAAGAGCATGATTCACTTCTAAGTGAATTAAAAACAAACTTTCATATATTTTAATTATATTGTCCTATAGATTTGTATCACAAACGTAATTGAATTCTGATATATCTGCTAGATAGACCTTTCGTTTTTTTGATAGCAGTTGTATAATGGAAGCTTTTTCTTGAGCGGGCTTTATTTACTGCTTCAGTAGCAATTTAGACACGTTGCATCATACGTATACCTTCTATATGATAACTTTTCTATATCAATATCTCAGGTGGCTTCTTCAAGAAAAGGATGTCTATCCAGGAGGAAACATTGGATATGTCTATCTGGGACACGTGTGGACAAGAGAGATATCAAAGTGTGCTTCACCTATATTTCAAAAGAGCCAGTGCAGCCCTAGTGTTGTATGACATCACTCGGACGGTTAGCATTTTTGATAATTCTACATACAGTGGAATGGTGATCTGTTGATTTAGTTTTCTAAAAATGTATACATTTTGTTTTCATTTTTATTTTGTAAATGAGATTTTTGAGGCAATGTATTTCAACCTGTGTAAAGGATAAAAATCTCTCATACAAAAAGTACCTCTGTACTGTAGTTGCAAATAAAAACCACTTGTTCATAATTGGAATAGGGATAAAATTAGTAATGTTCTAAATTTCCAAACATTCTTGCAGGGATACTCTGTTACAGTAACCTGGTAGAGTTAGAAAACAGAATATTTTAATAGAATATTGTTTAAAGAAAATAGCAATTTTGGGGCCGGGCCCGACACTCAACATGACCGGACGCTTTTCCTTATAGCTCGGGCACTATAGCCCTCCAAAACCGGCTAAATCGCCTTTGAGCGACGCAGACATCAATCAGTTCATGCTGACCAACACTATACTTGCTATACTATACATGCAATGTTTCCTATCCAGAATACTGCGGTCTGAGAAGTGCCTCATTTTGTGCCTGCTGCCTTCCATGCCCAGCGACCGGGGGCAGCGGCCAAACTCCCAAACCGGTGAGCACAACTGGCTAAAGTCTATTCATAGCCCCGTCACTCCCCCTTTGGACCGTGGGGGATATCCCAGTCCCCACGACACCAACCACACCAGTGGAGACCCAAAGATTGCACCCGACCCCAGATTATGTGAGACTTGCGTGGCCCCTCACCAGAGTCTATGGCTTAACCCCTTAAGGACACATGACATGTGTGACATGTCATGATTCCCTTTTATTCCAGAAGTTTGGTCCTTAAGGGGTTAAATATGTTGGCCCCAGAACAGGCCTGGGATGGAAGGATTGTACTCCTTGGATAATACATCCTGCGGATTATGCCTGCTTAAAATAAATCTCCCTTCGGCTGGCATAGGCTGAACCTTAGAGCAATGGTCTCTAACCCAGTAATCCTGGACTGGGACACCAACAGCTTGGAGACCACTGCCTTAGAGCATTCCACATGGGGCCATACAATGCTTTTAGCCAATGGCAATATAATTACTGCATCATACTTGTGTAACATAAGCCTATTCTCTAATAATCTGCTTTGCTAGTCCTCTTCCTCTGAAAATAGTGTGTGTCCAGGTTTTGTTAAGACATGTTAGTTTAACCTGTACTCGCTTGTTTTAACTCTCTTTTTATATAAAAAAATTGTGCTGTAATCTCAATGCCATGCCTTTGCTGTCGTGACATAGTAAGCTGCTATGTTATCTTATGCACAACAAAAATAAAGATGAAAAAAATAAGCAAATCTTTCAAATAGTCAGAAAACACTTTTGTTTAAAATGTATTGATTGCCAACGTTTTTGAACTTGTAGCCTGGTTTCACCAGCTTAATATCTTACAGTTCAGATTCTTTAATTGAACAGTCATTATCAGAGACTAGGCCACTTGTATATCAACTAATGGAATAGATTCACAGCAGTCTGTGATGGAAAAAGGGGTCTTACCTACTGTATTTCTCTGTATCTTTTTAAATGCTTGTTGTCCAGGCCCACTGCATTTAAAGGAGCACTACAGCGTTAGGAACAATATCGTCTTAGTAATACTATAATTTATTCTCCTCCCTATTTATATTTAGTGCCCCCCTAAATTAGGGCTAAAAAAATAAATTCTCCAGTGCAGAGACTCACTAGGTGCAGCCAGCAGATAGTCCTCCCATGACATCACCCTATAGGTGTTGCTTCTTTGTCTTCTTGTCCAATCCAGTGCTTCACAAGAAAGGTGTGAACGTTTAAACTTTCCAATGTCGCTATTTATTTAGAACACAGAGATCTAAGTTGTGCCTTAAATGCCCTAGGTTTAATCTGTCCTTCAAAATCTCTGTCAAAGAACTTAATTAGGGGGCTGTTTGTCTCCTTAAGTTACATTATACTCTGATTTACTCCCAGGAGTGGAATAAAAACCCCTCTTGGTGCCGCAATCAGTGACTGATTACTTTTAATGGTCCTTAGTTGGAAACATTTGGTGGTTTGACTAGTCCATTTGATTAGTGTTTTGTGCTATTGTGTAAATCAAGCATATCAAACTCGCGGCCCACAATGAAAATTGTTGCGGCCCGATGAGCCGCGAGTCTGCCATGCCTACTAAAGCAGAGTAGGCACCTGCTCTCCCCACATTGCAGGTGCCTACTCTGCCAAAATTACCCGGCCAGGTGGAGAGGTCCCTGGCGGCAGCTAGGGAGCTCAGTCTTCCTGCTCCTCACTGCTCCCTCGTGCGCACCCTCTGTAGTGATGCCGGAATATGTCTTCATTCTGGCATCACTAAACTGTGCACGTGAGGGAGCACGAAGACTGAGCTCTCGAGAGAAGGTCAGGAAAAGGCCCAACATCAGCTCTCAAAGATAGGGAGCAATAAATTAAATGGTGTGTGTGTGTTAGTCAGTGTTGCGATGGCCGGGTCTGGAGGTGCACGGAGGCACGCAACGCCATGTCACATTCTGACATGACGTCAACGTGTTCTACCTTCACAGGAGTAGCAGGAGGATCCGTTTGGCACAGGTTACGGACGGCGCCATTCGGTGGTTTACCAGAGGCTAGACTCCGAAGCCGCATACTGGCAGCGGCAATGTGAGTGGAGTCTGCTTGTTGGCTATTGTTTTTTGCTTTTTTCAAACAAGGGCTGGGGTAGTATAGAGGGGGGGACTGGGGTTTACTAAAGGGGGATGCTGTTTTTGTTTTTATACTGTACTTTTTAAAACAAACCTACATTTCTACGACAAATTAAGGTTTTGTTTTTTTTGCGGCCCACATAAACTTAAACTTAAACCTTGTTTATGTGGCCCGTGCTAGCCTTTGAGTTTGACATGCTTGGTGTACATAATTTACTAGATTATCACACCTTCGAATTTGGACTGTCCAAGTGGAACGTGCACTTCCCACGTCTGGCATTGTCTGATATTTTTAGATAACTCCTTATACCTGCATTAATTGCTACTGACCATTCATTTAGCAGTTGTACTTGAAAATCTTTCAACAAGTATATTTCTTTACAAAAACAAAAGTACAATACCAGTGGAAATTGAAGGATTCCTTAAGATTTCCCAAAAGCAACAAGGAGTCACTGGACGTTTTGTTGCGTCTGAGCTTGCACCTTAATTAAAGGACCCCTATAGGCACCCAGACCACTTCAGCTTAATGAAGTGGTCTGGGTGCCAGGTCCATCTAGGGTTAGCCCTTTTTTTTTTTTTATAAACCTAGCAGTTTCAGAGAAACTGCTATGTTTATAAATGGGTTAATCCAGCCTCTAGTGGCTGTCTCATTGACAGCCGCTAGAGGGCTTCCGCGCTTCTCACTGTGAAAATCACAGTGAGAAGACGCCAGCGTCCATAGGAAAGCATTGTGAATGCTTTCCTATGGACTGGCTGAATGCGCCCGCGGCTCCTGCCGCGCATGCGCATTCAGCCGAAGAGGAGGAGGAGGAGAGCTCCCCGTCTGGTGCTGGAGAAAGAGGTAAGTTTAACCCCTTCCTCTCCATCCAGCCCGGCGGGAGGGGGTCCCTGAGGGTGGGGGCACCCTCAGGGCACTATAGTGGTCCTTTAAGAAATTCCTGATTCCTAAATTAAACTCCTACACACTGACCTCTCTATATAACACTGAATGTTGCATTATTTTGCATGTTGTCAAACTCTTATTAGAAAATACAATATTTGTTTAAATCCAGCTTGCAAAACTGGATCTGCAGTGGGGGGCCCCAAACTTGTCCTTCCTTTAGTCTGAACTAGTATATCATTAACCTTCGGTCAGGCACAATGTGAGTAAGAACAGGATCGGGTGCATTGTGCGTGATAGGCCACTTTTACAAAAACAAACTTTTTACTCAAAAACATGTTTATTATTCCATTTGCTCTACAACATTAGCAAAAGCAATTTCTGAGCATTTATTACAATAAAAAGTAGCATGTTCCATACATAATGCACTTTTACACTTGCTGATAAGAGACGTCGTCCGCTATCCGTAGTGCATGTAATGCACATTCTCCTCTTGCTAGGCGTTTCCAAAGTTTCCTCTTTATCTTCTTCTACATTTTCACAATTACAAAATCATTTCAGTTTTGATTGAATATGCAGCGGAATGGCGATTGTTTTTTCACTTCATCTTTGAAGTTCCTCTAACGTAAGTTCGTGAGAAAGCTGCTTCAGAAATAGACGCCCCCTTTTTTTGGTTTCAAATCATTTCCCAGATAAATTATCTGCGAATTTATGCCAGCAACATTTAACATGGTGAAGAATATATTCATAGGCCAACGTTTTATATTCCTTGCAACGCTGAATGTAGCACACATTTTGTCAACATTGTCTACTCCTCCCTTTGTGGAATTGTAATATGTAATTATCGATGGTTTCTTTTTCTCGCCTGTTTCTGAATCAAGATATTTATTGTGATGAAAGCTGGACACAAGGATAAGTTTTGTTGTTCTTCGGTACGTATGATACTAATGTAGTACCGCGATTGAATCCAAAGCTCCATGAATACACTTCCCTAGATTTTGTTGTGACAAATTCAGGTGGCAGCTCTTATTTTTTTTTTTTCTTTACTGTGCCAACGTAGGAAATTTTCATCTCTTTCACTAAATACAGGGCTCTAAAAGCTCCAGCCAAATATAATATACCTATGCACGCTTTTATTTCAATGTCATTAGAAAGTTTGGCATCTCGTTCGCGTCCATATTTATTTTTTATTTTTTATTTTTTGCAGTGCATATGGGATAACAAACATTGCATGGGGTACCCCAAAGGCAATCCTCATACACTTCATACATTAGTTACAGTGGGGTTTACATTTGGCTTTGCACAATTTTGTTTTTAATTAGGCAATGAGGTGACGTTCTAAAAAGATGAGGTACAAAGTGTTTAGTAATGAGCTAGGCTACGCCATCACATTCATAGTTTGCTAAAACATTAAATATATCAGCATTAGTGATTTGCGTTATTAGTGAGTACAGAAATAAGGAACAAAAACTTTGCCTTTAAACTAATGGCATGTTTGATAACATGGATTAAACATAGTAGATGCGCCAATAATTCACGTTTAAGTTTTTTTTAGATAGATATAACAGGCTTGGTACATGTGGATAAAACTTTTATAGCTCAGCTATATATGCTTAGTTAAGTAGTTACTATATGATCAGGGCCAGACTGGGGATTCCAAAGCAGCCCAGGAAAAAAAAAAAATCTATGCCAGCCCCATAAGTCATTGCGCCATATATTGTCGCATGTAATATGTAAGGCTATGTCTTGCCACCCTAGATGATATATATATTCTCCAAAAAAAAATAAAAAAATAGGCAGGGCACTCCTCCTTTATAATCTTAAAGAGAATATATAAATGCCTAGGTGCAATCCCGCGTAGTATATACAGAAAACCAGATAAAGGGAGCACACTAGGTCTTCAATTCAGTGAAACAAAGTTATTTAATGTATCATAAAAAATACATAGGCTGTGACAAGCACAAAAATCTATGTGTATGTGTGTGTGTGTGTGTGTGTGTGTGTGTGTGTATATATATATATATATATATATATATATATATATATATATATATATATATATATATATATATATATATATATATATATATATATATATATATATATATATATATATATATATATAGCTTTTTCCAATATAAAATATTGGTCCTTTCAGAGTAAAATTTTTAATTATACAGTAAGCATACTCACATGCAGACACAGACAATCTCACTGACACAAGCTGATTGATACACAGCCTCATAGACAAACAATCTCACTGATATACATAAGGTCATTGACATAAAAACACAAGCTCACTCAGTAGCAGGCGCGCACACACACAGCTTAATGTAGTGGCTCTGGTGTCTATAGCCTGTCCCTGCAGGCTTTTCAATGTAAACACTGACTTTTTAGAGAAAAGGCAATGTTTACATTGCTTCCTAGTGACAGACACTCAGACGGTCACTAGAGGTGCTTCCTCTAGTGTCAGTGCGGATTGGCTGAGATCATCAAGCTTGATGATCTCAGCCGTAGAGGCAGGGCCAGTCGAGGGGAGACCAGCACGACGTGGAAAAAAAAAAAAAGGTGAGTAAAACATATATACACACACACACCGTGACACAGACACACACACACACATCGTGACACAGACACACACACACATACCATGCAAGACACACACACCATAACACAGACAGACCATGACACACACACACCACGACACAGAGATACCGTGACACAGACACACACACCATGACACAAACAGACGTGACACAGACACATTGCATGACACACATTGCATGACACAGACACACATTGCATGACACAGACACACATTGCATGACACAGACACACATTGCATGACACAGACACACATTACATGACACAGACACACACACCCCATGACACACACACCCCATGACACACACGACACAGACACTCACTCACATTGACACTCACACTGACACAGACACACACTCACACTGACACAGACACACACATACACTCACTCACACTGACACACACACACATACACTCACACTGACACACACATACACTCACTCACACTGACACACACACACACATACACTCACTCACACTGACACACACACACACATACACTCACTCACACTGACACACAATTTCTACCTGTGGGGAAGCTCCTTTGGCAGCCGCAGGGGGAGCTGGCTGTTCTGGCGGCCGCAGGGGGAGCTGGCTGTTCTGTCTCTGCCCCCCCTCCCCAGCGCGCCGCTTAATGAGACCGGGGCCGGAATATGACGTCATATTCCGGCCCCGGTCTCTTTGTAGTGCGCTGGGGAGGGGGAGGAGAGACAGAACAGCCAGCTCCTCCTGCGGCCGCCAGAACAGCCAGCTCCCTCTGCGGCCACAGGTGAGCCAGCTGTCTGCCCAGCCCCAGGTGCCGACGGCCCACCGGGAAATTTCCCAGTATCCTGGTGGGCCAGGCCGGCCCTGTATACGATTAGTAAGTTACAGGCTATGTTAAACAACGTTAGGTGTAAATTTCTCCACCCTGCTTTAAATTGACCACCGGGGGCAGCAAGTCACTGAACTTGCCGGATAATGCATATATTCAGGCTTAGACAGTTGTAAATTATTTCCCTGCAGTGATAAATTCAACTGTATTTAAAAGCATAAATTATATTAAAAAGACACTGCACTGTATAAGTATATACAGTGCTCTGCAGGATTTTCATTCTACATGGTTAGCAGCTGTTTAGTTACTTCTGCAGTAGCGCTGGGTCGGCTGGCGTCTTGGCCATCTCCAGGTCGCTTGTGTTTCCCGCTGGTTGCTAGAGTGCTTCGGTACTTGCTGGCCATGTGTGTGTTCGCTTTTATGCTTCTGCCAGCATCAACCTTGGGTACAAGATGAAGCCTGTGTGCTGTGCCCGCTGCTCCTCTCTGTTTGAGTAGAGTGAGAGTCCAGGTAAAGTCTCCCTTGGGCCGCCGGTAACACAGGGAGTTGTAGCTTCTGCTTAGGTAGATGGGAGCTCATTCTCCGGCTTGTAATGGGTGCGGTGGCCATTTTGGATTTTGCCATGCGGTCCTTGTTTAATCCATTCGCCGCTCGGATGGTAAAAGCTGTCAGTGCCTCTCCGGTGGGGTCCGGGAATAACCCCCCCCCCCACGGCCCACAGGGGGGGAACGGGGCCCTCAGTAGGCGTGCGAGATGTCCTGCCGGACTAAGCACGGGAGATCGGCCATTTCTCCCGCCAGAGCCTCACGACAGGCTTCCAGCCCAGCAGTCAGCTCCGCCGGTAGGACGGGGGCTGATATTGACACCGTGGGTGATTTCTTGTGTCCTTTTCGCCTTCATGTGGCCACTGATCGCCAATCTCGGGGAAAAACTGTAATTTTTGCCTGATTGTGCTAGTTTCATAGAGGAGCCGAGGTGCCCCACGTCCATCCTGCTCGGCGGTCTGGCCCCACCCCCCATATTTATTTTTGATCATATTTATATATTGGTTAGTATATTTTACAATGATATCCAGAATATCTCCAGTGACTAAGTATTTCCAACAGTCAACTGGAGATTTCGATAACTTTGCAGGGCCTATAACACCTGGTAACTGCTTCAACAAATTATGAGGCGTGGTGCGATTTTTCTTGTTGGGAATATCTCAATACCCTTTACTGGACTTGTCTTTTCCAAGAAAATATGAAGCGTTATCTGTGCTGTCGTCATTGCTGAATTCTTCATAGTTTTGTTCTGATTCAGAACTCTCAATGCGTGCTTCCATGTTATCTTCAGTCACGCTATCGTCGCTTTCATCTGAATCTTCAAAAATATTTTCAGCATTTGATTCATCCTCTACCATTTTCATCATATCCGCTACATCATTCGGATTATTGAAATGGAAAATTTTCTTTGAGTTGTCCATTTTTATTGCCATATCTACAAACAGGGCCGGCGCTACCTGTTAAGCAGACTAGGCGCTACCTGTTAGGGGGCCAAAAGCGCTGGCCCCCTCATGCTGCAGCCGCCGCCCAAGCACTCTGTAGAGAGCCTCAGGCGGCTGCAGCTTTGCCCGGGCTGGTGCGTCCATGAGGGCGCACCGCCTGGGCGCAGCATGAGCAGAGGGGATGACAGGAGGGAACCGCTCAGCGCTCCCTCCTGTCACTCCCTCACTGTAGCGTGGCCGAGCTCTGTATGGTCCGTGGGTACAGGGAGCATCTGTCTCATGTACCCGGCCAGACTAACAGGAAATACACACTCAGTGTGCACTTCCTTTTATTCCGGCCAGGTACAGGAAACAAAAGCTTCCTGTACCCGCGGACCATACAGAGCTCGTCCGCGCTACAACAGTGGTAGAGGGGGGAAGGGGGGGGATAAGGAAATTGGGAGAGGGGGGGAGGAGGAGGAAATTGGGAGAGGGGGGAGGAGGAGGAAATTGGGAGGGGGGGAGGAGGAGGAAATTGGGAGAGGGGGGGAGGAGGAGGAAATTGGGAGAGGGGGGAGGAGGAGGAAATTGGGAGAGGGGGGGAGGAGGAGAGGAGGGGGGGAGGAGGAGGAGGAAATTGGGAGAGGGGGGGGAGGAGGAGGAGGAAATTGGGAGGGGGGAGAGGAGGAGGAATGGGAGAGGGGGGAGGAGGAGGAGGAAATTGGGAGAGTGGGGGAGGAGGAGGAATTGGGAGAGGGGGGGAGGAGGAGGAGGAAATTGGGAGAGGGGGGAGGGAGGAGGAGGAAATTGGGAGAGGGGGGGAGGAGGAGGAGGAAATTGGGAGAGGGGGGAGATTGACATCCATCACACACAATGCATTACACACACCGACACACATACACAAGCAATGCATTCCTTACACACACAAACACACAATGCATTCATTACACACACTCAATGCATCCCTTACAGACGCACACACTGCATCCCATACATACACAAACACACCTTGCAGCCCTTACACACATCAGGACATCCCCTACACACTCCACCCCCTGTGAACAAACTCATTGGTGGAACATGAAGGTGGACCCTGGGACCTTGAGCTGTGTAAAGGGCCCCCAAAAAATGGAGCTGTTTCCCGTTCTCCCAGAACATTGATTTTTGTGACCACAGTTACAAACAGCCTCCAGGGATCATGGTCTACACCAGACCAGTGGAGCCAGACTGCAGCTAGAGCCCATCATCATCTTCATCTGGTTGTAAGTAGGCAATCTAGTATATTATTCGTGGCACTAATCTCTAATTTACCTCACATTAAAGAAACACTATAGTCCCCAGAACCACTGCAGCTTAATGTAGTGGTTCTGGTGTCTATAGCCTGTCCCTGCAGGCCTTTTAATGTAAACATGGCGGCACTGCAGCACTGGCGTTAGTTAACATGGCAGATCATATGGTTGGGGCATTGTGATGTCACATATGGGGGGACGGCAAACTTTACTTTTGCCTAGGGCGGCAAAAATCCTTGCACCGGCCCTGTCTACAAAGAAATAACAAAAATAGCATCATCGGGCTGAATGTGCCTGAGAGGAACATCGTGCCTCATTATGGAGTTGAACATTATAACATTGAAAAACAATCAGGTATGGCATTAATATGCTTGAATTAATTAGAAAAATGACTTACCAATGTAATTATAGTCTTATAATGGTTATACTGCAAACGGGCGCAATGTGCCTAAGAGACACAAAGTGCTGCGACTCGCACACACGACGTTCAAATGGTCGCTGCAGAATCTATGAAAAAAAAAGCTACTGAGGTGGCCGGGCGGTAACGAGCTCTCGCCTTGGTAGGACGAAACCACAAATATTGGCTGTGCCTGTTGGATCAGTTGCGCCTAACCGAGGGTTAAAAATGGACTTTGTGGCAACATTTTATTTGTCTGTTCCCATGACAAACATGACTGATAAAATGCAGTTGTTTGTGCAAAATTAGAATTTTCCTATTTGTCAGAAAACATTTTTGTGTATTCATTGATATATAGATAGCTGTGGGCAAGCCTAGTCTGCATCTCTGCTGGTTGTAGACTGAGAATTGCCTCCTGCATTTCAGAGTTTTGCTGCAGGTTACCATGGCAGTATACCGATACTACACCATGCTGGATCTGAAAAGAGCATACTCACGCTGCATGTTACATAGCTCCTCTCCACCGGTCATATTCACCCTTCCTGCTTAAAAGTAAGAAGCAAAAAGGGAGAATAAACCCAAATTTTATTTTTATTTTTATTTTAGTACTTCATAAAAAAAAAATTTTTTAAGTTTAAAAAAACTTTCACTGCCCTTCTCTCATCAGCCACCAAAATACATCCCTGTAGCACTCAACAAATTCACACATACACTACATCCCCTACACACACACACACACACACACACACACACACACACACACACACACTACATTCTCTACATACACTTGGTTCCCTTTTACCACACCTACCACAGTGTCAGTGTGTGTGTGTGTGTGTGTGTGTGTATACACACATATACTTCATCCCTTATACTCACAAGCTGAGTATACTGTTTTTTTTTGTTTTTTTTACCTCTTAATTATTGAATTCAGGTGTTTCAATCAAACACATTGCTACAGGTGTATAAAATCAAGCATTTAGCCATGTGGTCTGTATTTACAAACACTTGTGAAAAAAAATGGGTCGTTCTGTAGAGCTCACTGAATTTAAACGTGGCACCGTGATAGGTTGCCACCTTTGCAATAAATCTGTTTGTAAAATTTCATCCCTGCTAGATATTCCATGGAATATCTAAGTGGTATTATCAGAAAATAGAAACATTTAGGAACAGCAGCACTCTACCACAGAGCAGAAAAGTCACACGTAAAGTCACAGCGGGGTCACAGAGTGCTGAGGCACATGGCGCATAAGTCACCAACACTCTGCTGATTCCGTATCCATTATAGGTTTAAAATCCCAATACCAATTTATGACTGCTTACAAGTCAACTTACAAAAAGAAAAATCTATCCTAAACTTTCAATAAAAATGCCTTACTTCTCTAATTTGACTTTTTTTTTTTTTTTGACTCAAAATAACCATGTATCCACAGGATACCTTCAACAGAGCCCAATTATATCTGGACGAGCTTGTGCAGTATTTCCATCCAGAACAAGTGATAATTTGCTTGGTTGGGAACAAGAGCGACCTTGACAGTGAGCGAGAAGTCTCAAAAGAGGTATGTGTTCATATTTAGCATGCTACATGATCCTTGTAGAGGCACTTCATGTTCTCCCACTACTCTACTGCATTTATAAATGTAATAGCAACAAATTATACTGCACTATTTTTTTTAATTTTTTTATTTTTTTCTATCTTTTGCTAAACTGGCATTTCTGGAGAATTGACTAGGGAATTGCAAAATATTTTAGTCTAAAATGGCTGACCTAGAAAAATCAGGGGGGTGAATTGAAGGGATTTTATGAATTTTCCTTTGGCAATGCTTGTCTACAATTTTTGTATTTCCAGTTTCCCCACAGTGCCCAATTTGGTGAACATATTAAATAAAATATTCTGGTTTTGTGCTGCCCTAGGCATGACAAAACTCGAGCACACCCCCATCCAAACTTCTCTTCCTGACAGATACACTCCCTCACTGATGGATGTACTGACATACCATCACTTACAGATACAGTCATTATCACACACTGTTTAACCAACGCACACTTTTACTGAAACCTACACATTCACAGACATACTCACATTCACTGACAGACACACACTCTGTGACACACGCATACACACACTGACAAACGCGTATAAACCACCTGAAAGTGCCGCCCAAGGCAAATGCCTTGCCAGCCTCGCAGTACAGCGCTGTATATAACGTTACAAGACTTATTTGATTTACAGAAGCAAAGCAATATAAAAGGTGTTGGAGTAGGTCAAACAATGGACCTTTTTATTTATTTATTTATTTTAATATTTTTGTTAAACTTAAAATGTAAATATTTCAAATATATTAAGTTTTTTTTTTTTTAACATAAAAAAAATTATCATTTGAAAAGGTTATGCAAAAATATTAACTGCCTATATATGGTAAAGAGGATGAAACAGTAGCACCCTACGTACAATGAGCATACAGTTGTGCTCAAAAGTTTGCATACCCTTAAAGTTTGCACTTTACGAACACTAAAACGAATGTTGGTTGATTTATAACTACAATCAAAGAAAGCTGTTTCCATCAAACATTAAAGAGTGAATAGGACCCCATAAATCCTTTCCAGCTTACACATTGAGCCTAGTATTAGTAATCACTGGCTCTTTCTTGTGCACAACTTATGTATCAATAGATCCAATACTTTTTTCAGACTATATTGCACTAGTATTTTGTCTTTCCTTTTGTCCCCACTCATAGGATCATATACACTTCCCGGAAAACCTCCGCTTACCAGACATCAGACTCTCCTTCGAGAGGCCCACGCCACCAGCACTGCCTAAAATGGCGCCTGAAGCCCGGAGCGACCCGGAAGCGTCGGAGGATTCCCACGAGGAGGAAGAATTACTCACCTCTCCTTGAGCCAGTGGAGGGTCCTCTGCGTCGGATGAAGACTCCACTCCATCTACCAAAGGAGACCTCAAGAGGCTCCTAATCGATCTGAGAGAAGTCTGGAAGGCCGACCTTTGGGAGGCCCATGCCGGAATTGGGAGTGATTCACCAAAAAAATCACAGCAGTGGAAATGAGGAAGACAGACAGAGACAGCCAGCTACAGGAAGCACAGAGCCAAATCAAGGGGCTCACCCAGCAGGCTCACCAACTAAGCCGTGCAGTGGCTACACTACAGGCCCGCCATAGACGGCGGAACATACGCCTCCGAGGCCTCACAAAGACTGTGGGAGGAGAGGTGCTGTTGCCTTTTGTCCGGGGACTGACTACCTCCATGGGCATCAAGGGGAGCAATGATCCCCTGCAGATAACATCGGTGTTCCGGATATGCAAGTCTGCCACAGCGCCAGCCGAAGCTCCTAGGGACACCATCACAGTCACGAGAGACGTGGCAATGAGAACCGCAATTCTGAATCGCTCCAGGATCTTGGGGACGGACACATATGACTGCTGCACGGTATCTATATATGGAGACCTGCCATTCTCAATACTGATGGAGGGGAGGCAGCTAGCCCCCATCACCAGGAGGCTGAGAGACTAGTCTGTCAAGTACAGATTGGGAATAGAGGGTTCACTAATGGTCCCCCATGGTGACGAGACACTCAAACTGTCATCCTCTGAAGACCCAGCAGTGTTTTTGCAAAAACTGGGCCTGAAAACCACACTATCGAAATCCTGGCTGGGGGAAAATCTAGAAGGAAGAGATGCTCTAGAGGGAACAACCCGCAACCACCTGCTGACTCACCCAGCTGCTAACTGGCAGTGACTTCTACCGGGCAGCAAGGGCTTGCAGTAAGGCACATAGCATTCCTGCTTGTTAAGAGCCACACCTGGCCTCTCAAAAGCAAAACCAGGATGCATACTGGCACAATCTTTATTTCATGCCAGGGTATACAAACTTTTGAGCACAACTGTATCTAGATATTCTAGATAGCCGGTATTATTGAGCACTAATATTTTCTTTTTCCCACTAAAATCCGTTAACAATTCCTATGTGGTGGAAAATGTATACATATTTTACAAACCAAACCCCTCCCCCACCCTTTTTTTTTAATACATTTATGTACTCCACTTGGCACACCTACTTAATCACTTTCTGAAGTAAAAAAAAATTGGTTGGATGAAGTTCACCTGTTTGTTTATATGTTTGACAGATCACGTGTCACTAACTGCAAAGAGCAGTGTTGGGACTAGCAAACTATCTACAAAATATCCTGGAGAAATACTTTGGGAAGACTCAAATATACTGCTGTCTGCTGTAGTTTTCGCTTACATATGTCTGTGTCTGTCTGGTACTTAGAGGTATAGGTGTTGCTATATCCTATTGGGTGGTAGCATCACTACAACATTTGTTAGTTTTTGACTCACAACAAGGTTGAAGTGACACCGACATCTCTTAAACCATAGAGGATACATGACCCTATGGGGCTCAAGCCGAAGCGGTACTTTTGTCTGGAAAGTCCTTGATTGTCTGATACCAGACTCTTTTGAGAGGCCCATACCACAGATGCCACCAAAAATGGCGCCCGAGGCTCAGAGCATATTGGGGTCCTCAGGAGTCCCACTAGGATGAGGAGTCGCTTGCTTTGACCTGGTGGAGTCTACCAGCTGTCAGAAAGGCGAGATTAAGAAGCTGCTGATAGACCTGAGGAAGCTCTAGAAGGCTAACTGCCAGAAGCTATAGGACATTTGATGGGAAGTCCTGAGGCTAATGTTTTCCACTCTCCTTGGGTTATTTTATCTTTAAGATAAGCTCCCCATCTGTAGTAAGGATGATCCATTGAGCGCCTCCTAATGTAAATCCCCTGTAGATATTCTTGTCTAGCAACCACCATAGAAGGTTGCTAGTGAGGAATCTTGATGGTTGCTTTACGTGAAAGGTTTCAGGAAGTTCTCCTGTAATGGTCTCATCCTCCTCTGGGCCCATCTTGTCAGACCAATGGTCGAGGAAATAGATCCCAGTAGACTCATGAAGTTCTGTGCCCTAGTTATACTGACAGACAATATTTTCTATGGCTTTTGGTTAGAGACCCCTTCCTCTGTCTTGTGAAAGCTGTAATTTGCCTTGAAATGAGTTGAATAAGTTAACTTTTCTGTTTAGGAATCAGTTGACTCTTTGATACATTGATCTTCCAGCAATGCTCTAGCAGGGTCCACGTAACAAGGGTTTCTCTGTTGTCTGCAAGGATCGGAATGTCATCTAAATAGTGGCATACTGCAATGCCCTTTTTTCTCAGTTATGCAATAAGGACAACAGTTACTTTGAAGAATATGCTAGGGGCAGTACATGATCCAAAGGGAAGGGCTTGAAACTGGAAATGCCCCTTTTCTACTGCAAATATCAAACTCTTGATGTTGCACTACAATAGGGACATGAAAATATGCATCCTGCAGATCGATTAGTATCATCCATTGGCCTGGAAAGACCAATTTTAAAATAGAAAGTTCAAGACATTTGACATTTGTGTAGATCCAGAATACGTGCCCATCCTCCTGATGCTTTTTCAGTCAGGAACAGGTGAAAATAGAAACCGCAATTTTTGTTCCTCTGGAACACTTATGATCACTTTCTCTGCATGAAGGGTAGTCATAAAGGTCAAAGGTTATGAGTGTCTTTTTTATTTTAATTTATTTTATTTATTTGGTTTTTGTTTCCCGGCCACATTGTGATCTGGAAGCTGAGACCTGGAGGGGCATTAACAAACTTCAGAAAATATCCCCTTGACATGTTTGAGACCCATTTGTTTTGGATAGATTTCTCTCAGACTGGGAGGAATTGAAGCAGGCAGGCCTCTACTACTTCAGGCTGGGAGAGCAGACCATAATAAAGATCTGGAGCTCTTAGCTGGTGCTAATCCTCTTGATCTAATTCCTCTGGAGGAATGGTCCACTCTCCAAGGAGATATACCATATTCTCTGCCTGTCCAGTAGGCTCTGTTTTCTCAAAAAATAAAAAAGAGCCTACTGTGTTTCTTTTGTTTCTGAGGTTTTTTTTTTTAGGTCTACGGTCCTGATGTATGCCTTCCTGCCATCTGCTGCTGTCTTAATGAATCATCCAGTTGTTTGACAAAAAGCATTTCCCCTTTTAAAGGAAGAGAGCGGAGGCTGTTAGATGATGCATTCGTGATCTAAGCCAGAGAGACCTTCTGGCGGATACTGAGAGGACTATATATTCCTGAATAGAGCTTTGACCATATAAACCGAGGCTTCAGAGGGAAGATTGTGATGGAGCTCCCGTACGCCTACCGAGTACTTCTGCCCAATCCACTTTCTAGCAGTTGGCTTCAACCCAAGTCTGGGGTCTCTCTGAAACTTTTCCACCCGACCAGGCTGCAGCTCTTTCAGGCAGGTATTGTCCCCTCTGCCTATTCCGCTGCAGCCGTTCTTCGAGGCATGTATGTACGTAGTGGGCATTGGATAGCATTCCCTTCATCCCCCATAAAACCATAACTTACCCCTTCAAATAACGACAGACAACTTCTTGGAGAAAACAGGCCACAGCATTTATTAACACAACCAAATACTGTATGACTCCTGTAACATATAACGAAATAATAAATATCATACATAAACAATTTGCATATAGTCATACAGTAACCAAAGAAACCGTCCTTGCCAATCTAACTTTCCCAAGGCTTTCACCTCCCCCCCTTGGCATAATAAAAACATCTTCCTTTTCAGGGCTCCCCACCAACTCGGTGGGGCCCAACCATAATGCTCCCCACTGGTCAACTTACAACCTAGTGGGGACACGTCCAACCTGGTACCTCCTCCAGGTTTCCCATAAGAGACAGGGGGAGGATGAGACCCAGCCATTATCCCCCTTTTTCATCTAATCTACCAAACCATCCCTTATTTGGCAAGGACACACCCCCGCCTCGCTGTGACAACCTGGGCCCAAAGAAGCAAAGGGAGTGTGGAAAACTTGTTGCTGGCCCGGCTCCTAAGTGGCACTGAGGTCAGTCTGATCTGTCACCACCCACTTCCTCACATCTCCCACTCCCACATGTAGCATATAGCCAATCGTGCATCATCCATCCCACACTCATATATGTGCTCTTGTCCGCTAAGCTGCGTACTCTCCCTGGGGCCTAGTCTGCCTCTGCCTGCAATGTGATTTTTATTTCCTTTACAAAGGCACTTGCGGCTCTCAGGCCTAGCTCTCTTGATTTGTGTAGCCAGCCAACAGGTCTGAAGACTCTGTTATTGGGATCCCTAAAAATCCATGCCAGAAATAACACACAATACTTTACCTCGGGACTAACCCATATGTTCATTACACTTAGATTGCTGTGACAACTTCAAATAACCAAATCATAGCAGACAACATACAGCAACTTATTAAAACACCATTACATACTTATAATGGGGCGAGGAAGACCATAATTAACACACAATCTCTCCTGCCGGCAGAATTGGCAATATGCAAATATACTCCAATAACAAAATTAACAAGCCTTGCTATTCAGGTAGTGCATATAGCTATCACTACAAACAGAGGGCATTATACAGGCTCCATAGCCAAATCCACTTTGTTGGTAGCAAGCATCAGCAGGACAGGAGCACACAAACCATTAACAATAGATGCATAATACAGTCTGCACCTATAATGGGCACAGGGTGACTTGGACAAAGGAGTAGTGCAGGGTCCTACATAAAGTGTTTGTTTGAAACTCCATCTTCAAAATCCTCTATCCATAGTTTGAGGGCACGAGACACACAGAAGTAAAAGCTATGGCAGGATGAATACCTGTGTCTGCTGCAATATTACTCTGATCCAGGGCTCGAGTCCTGCAGGAACGCATGGAAACGGCGTTCCTGCACTTTTTCCACAGCAGGAATGCCATTCCCGTTAGTCCTGCAGGACAGAGGCGGCTCTCTAACCTTTTCACAGTCCCCTACCCACCTCACAGCCCCCCTCACACACCTTGTCACGGCCCCCTCACACACACACACCTCCTCACGCCCCCACACACACCTCTCACGCCCCCCTCACACACACACCCCTGTCACGTCCCTCCCTCACACACACCCTGTCACGGTCCCTCCCTCACACACACCCTGTCACGGTCCCTCCCCTCACACACACACTCTGTCACGTCCCTCCCTCACACACACTCTGTCACGGTCCCTCCCCCACACACACACACCC